CTTTCTCCTACATATCAATTATCTCTGATTGACTTATGTTCGATCCACATAAATGAATGATAATTGTTTTCATATGACTAAAACTGCACTTTAATGAGTTAGTTTGTGACGACGTGTTATTACACGATCAGACCTTCTCTAACGAGTTTTTCTAACTGATCAAATGTATTACATAACTTCGCCTTAATTTGAGAAAGAGGCTCCCAAGTGCAGTTTAATCTTTTTTTTTTTAATGCTTGAGTTAGTAGTATCAATAGTGATTACTAAATAGAGTAACTTGAGGACATTATAGTCTCATCTTAATTGTCTTACATTTTGTTCTTAATCTTTGTTCTCCTTCAACTAATTGTTAATGAAAATAATTACGAAAGAGTTCCCAACATTAGTGTTATTTTTAAAAATCTAGATGGAATTCCGATAATATATATTGGTGGAAAAGTGTTGGCTAAATAGCAATGATTTAAAAGATTGATAAATGATATGGAAGAGTGGGTGCATATGTGAGAGAATGAAATATGAAAAGGATGTCAAATGCAATAAAAACAAAATGGAAGGAAGCAGTTGTTATTATCAGGAATGGAAGAGAGTGGTCACGGGGTTCTCTTGACTTGGGCAGTTTAGTCCCACACACATGCTTATTCCTCCCCGCACTCTCGCACTCCTGCCCCCCATCTAGGCATGCCCACGGTTATGGAACTGTCGGTTCGGTTCTAAAACCGTCGGTTCTAATTTAGTAAAAATAAGAATCAGAACCGCTACTTTATACTATACTTTCGGTTGCGGTTCAAGAACCGTCGGTTCCAGTTTGGTTCCGGTTTTGTTATGCTTTAAAGTTCTATTTCCAAGTTGTAGCGGTTTTGGTTACACATTTTTTTTTAACCAAATTTATTTTGCTTAATTTTCTTTTTTTGAAAAGTGATATGGAATGTGGAGTAAGAATATGTAAAAAAAAAAAAAAATACTTTACATGTATACCCCAATTTAACTATATGAAAAATATTAGTGCTTGTTTGGACGTCAACTAACATTTCATTTTGCTACTTAAAAGTGAAAAGTGTTTCAAATTGAAAACTAAATGAGAAATAAAAATGTTGTTTGGATGTATGTTTTGAAAAAAAAGTATTTTGAACTGCATTTTGAAATATCAAGTACAAGTCATCACTAAACAATTAAATACTGTCAGTTATAGTCACTGCAAAAATTTTTTTTTCCAAAAACAATCACTCAACAACGGAATCCTACCAAATTTGTCACTGAACTATTTGTAGTTCTAAAATAGTCATTACAGTAACAAAAAGTGTTTCAAGTTGGAATTTAAAATGTAAATCAGAAAGTTGTTTGGATGATATTTTTTTTTTCATTGAATTTTGTGTTTAAGAGGTAAAATGAGTAAAAATGTAAAATGAACTATTGTCCAAACAAGGCCTAAATTGGCAGTTCTTAAAATTTACTCAAATCAACAAGCAATCTTTACAAACATTATCTGAATAAAATTATTCTAAAAAATTACTATGCTAAAAGAAACTAAAAAGTCACTGCTAAAGTGAAATTCGCAAGAATATTTAGAACTCACATCGCTAATGATTTAAAAGATAATAATACCTTAAACCTGCAAAAAAGAAGTTAGTAGTCCGAAGGTTAAGTTAGTACATGGTTCGACGTTCGAGAGAGAGAAAACTACATTGAAGTGTATCATGTGTAAAATAAGGGAGAGTACATGGTATAAATGTGTTTTATTTATTATTTATTGGATTAGGATTTATTTTTGATATTAGATTAACTACTTTTTATACTATAATTAAGATTTCTATTTTTTACGTTGTTTTATATTGATAACAGTATGAGATAACGACCCTATGAATGATTAAAGTAGTAGTGAAGAAGGCGGTGGGAAGAAGGTGGTGAGAGAGAGTGTTGAAACTTAATTGTTTTTAATTAAACAAATGATGAAATTATTGGAATAGGATTTAATCGATTATTGAACCGACGGTTTATACGGTTCAAAACTGACGGTTAGAACCGTCAATTCACGGTTTGAAAACTAATTGAACCTTAACTGAACCATCAATACAAGGTTCGGTTACGGTTTTAGAACCTTCGAAGACGGTTCAAGAACCGGAACCTTATAATTCGGTTTGGTTCCGGTTCAAACTGGAACCTTGGGCATGCCTACCCCCATCCCTCAATATTTCATTTTATTTTCTCCCCTCGTGTATATTTTATATATTAATCTCGTCGGTTCAAAATGATATTAGTTTGTTATAGTTAAATAATTTTCGTTATAGTGTATAAGCATGACTTGAACGAACTCCAAACATACATATATATATTACTATTTTCGTCCAAAAAAATAGTTCACTTTGAGTTTTGAGTTTTGTACTGTTTTTAGTACAAATTTAAAAACTCAAAGTGGACTATTTTTTTGGGACAAAGGTAGTAACTTTTACTCGCAACAAAGATAATTAATATTCATGTAATATCTTAAGGCAAATGTGATCATTTATATGGTTTGAAGTAAATTTAAACATTTGATGACTATCAAACTGTAAGTGTAACATTTTTTTGTAAGTGTTAGCTTGTAGTAGTAGTAAAATAGTGACTATTTGATTAACTTTTAGATCTTACCAAAATTACCATGTGGCTAGGAAAAAAAAACGTTATGGTAGGGATAGTTTAGCTTCATAGATGACTTCTCACTGTTCCATTCGTTTGTTTTCCTTTATTTTACTATTTTCCTTTTCTTTTCTTTCTTTTGTGAATGTATATAGGAATATATTAAAGGGATACCAGATTACAATGTTTATATATCTTTGGTTAACCAATTCTTTTACTAACGAATTAAGGAAAAAGTTCTGCTATGCTAGCAAGAAAAATTGTATCTTCCCGTTCACCTTAAATATTTCCTTCCGCTTTACGGATTAATTCTACCGTATTGCTAAGATACTTGTAATCCATTATTACTAATCATTGTGATATCATAAATTAACTTTTAACCGTTCTAGTTAACTGTATGCATTTCTGCATATATGTACGGAATACATTGCTGAGTTCTTTTCTTCTTCTTTTTAACACAAAAATCCTTATCCCATCTCATATGAAATTCGATTGGATGAATTAACATTAAGTAATCAACGGACAGCCTGACCGAATAAAATGTACTGTAATTAAAGTCGTATGCTAGCCTCAACCTCCTCTCTAATCGGTCCCTTTTGACTATGAAGATATATGCAGCCCCCTTGTGCACCCTATATAAACTTAGGATCTTTATTATTATTATTATTATTATTATTATTTTTTTTTTTTTTTTTTTATTTCAGTGGTTTCTATATATATTGAGCATACTTGAGACATTAAAGGTACAAGTTTGTTAGAGTTAGCTACTAAATGGAGAGCAAATAGGAAAGCTATAGGTATAAGTTAAATTATTGACATCTAGAAGGGAAAAAAAAAACTTGACAAATTTCACCTAACAAATTAGTTCATAAATAGCATGAGGATACCCTTGATTGTGCGCTAAACTAGCTCATATATATGTGTGGGGTATCGAACCTAACAATAAAAAATGATAATGAAGAATCAAACTCTAATGGAGGACCAACGAGAGTATTAATTATCCAAATGTTGCTATAGCAGATTTACTATTCCACTGCAGCTCATCGTATTTTACTCCTTTCGTCTAAAAATAATATCCTTACTCAGGCTCCGTTTGATAATCATTGAAGTATGAATCTTAACACTTAACATTTAACACTGAAATCTGAAATCTGAAGGCTGAATTTATATTGTTTGATAAAAACGTCTGAATTTGATGTCTGAAGACTGAAGTCTGAAGTTTGAACACTTAATTAATCTGAATACTCAATTCTGAAAATTATTTAAATTTTAATATCATTAAAATTGAATTATAAATAAAATTCTTTTAAATAGAAAATTAACTAAAATTTTGTTCTAAATAATAAAATAATAATTTTAAAATAAGTTTTTGGTATATATTAATGAAGGTAGATATTACACTTGGTAAATAATCAATATATAATTAAATTTAGATTATTTACATATATCGATATATATATATATATATATATGTATACTTTGTTATTTAGCAAATTTTATGTATTATTAAAATTAGTTTAATTTGAATTTGAAAGTTTGAGATTTTTTAAGCATTGTTAACTAATTTATCTTAAGAAAATAAAAATTTAAAATAATATAAACATAAGCGTCGAAATAAAGACGAGAGAAAAAAAAAGAAAAAAAAAGAAAAGAAAAAAAGAGTCATCACAGAAATTAAATGTCAAGTGATAAGACTTTTTAGTAGCGATTGTCAAACACACTTAATTTCATTAAGTACTTAAATAAATTAAGTCACTATATTAAGTGATTATCAAACACAGTCTCACTCAACAAAATAATTTATCTAATAAGTTAAAATATTATTTAGTTTGGAATGATCAAATTACTAGTCGAGGTGTATATTTAACACAAAATATTTCAAAATCAAAACTTTTTTTTTTCTGTCAGACAATACAAATACTTGAAAATATGACTCTTATTGGCTATAACATTAAAGACACTTTACCTTACCACATCGTTTTCAAACAAGTTTGCTAAACCTTTAACTGCCTCTAGTGAAATAATACACTTTCAAAACTACCATTACTGGCAGCAAAGAATGTCCATTGGATCTTGTAGGTTGTAAAGTAAATGAAAAAAATTTGTTGAGAGAGTTTAGCATTCTGAGTAACATGTATCTGAAACGAATCCAAATTAGTTAAAGTAATTGATAAAAACACTATTAGTTGGAAGTTTTACCTGAAAGCTAGCATGAAAAAAAAAGAGAAAAAAAAAACAAGTTGGAAAAATACATATACTAGTGAAAAAAATTGAAGCAAATTTATGATGGGGGGAGAATTAAGAAAGCTCCAAATCCACCGCTAAAAGGAGAAAGGAGGCTGTGGACACCCTGTCCTCTTTTTGAGAAGTCATTTTCTCATCTTAAACACCTTCATGCAAACAACATCTCTTCTCTCAATTTAATGTAGGGCCTGAAAGCTATGTAGATCTTTCCATTTTACTCCCTCCCCCTCTCCCCATTTCTTTCTCCCTTCCTTCCTTTCCTCCCACTTCCATGACTGCAAATTAACATTCATTCATCTAAAGAGAGAGAGAGAGAGAGAAAGAGAAACACACAGTCACACAGTGAGACCAAAGACTACATACATAGTAACAGTCTTTCACATTAATTATACTATTCAAATTCTTTCTTCCGGAAAAATTAATCCACTGCAACCACAGCTACTAGTTTCAGTTGTAATATTTTTTTACCCCTTTTTTTTCTCATCAATTCATCTTCCTGTCCACAATTTTGCCTCCTCCCAAAATTTTTTCTCGTACTCCATTAATATAAAGGTGCAAGAGAAACTGCCAAAAAGTAGAGAGCTAACAAAGAACAAAGAATTAGGCTTCTTCTTATTTTAATTCCTTTTTTTTTTTTTTCATAGCAGATGACCTCGATTCCAAGTTATCATCAGCATCATCATCACATCCATTATTAGTTTATGGCAGTTGTTGCCTCAACCATGAGCCAAGATGACGACAACAACAATACCAATGTTAACAACAACGTTAACAACAACAACAACAACAAAGTAGTAGTAGATGATGATGAGCATGAACACGATATGGTTATGCCCGGATTCCGATTCCACCCTACTGAGGAAGAACTTATAGAGTTCTACCTTCGCCGTAAGGTTGAGGGCAAACGTTTCAATGTCGAACTCATCACTTTTCTCGATCTTTATCGCTATGACCCTTGGGAACTTCCAGGTATCCTCATTATATCCCCTTTTATCCACTTTTCTGCTTTTCTTTTTGATTCACCTTTTCTTTTTCCTAATGGCTCCCTATTTATGGCTTTCAATTGAATTGGAGAAAATTATTTGGACCCTTTTTTTCTCTTTGTTTTGTGTGTAGCTTTGGCCGCGATTGGGGAGAAAGAATGGTTCTTTTATGTGCCAAGAGACCGGAAGTATAGAAATGGAGATAGACCAAACAGAGTAACGACTTCTGGGTATTGGAAGGCAACCGGAGCTGATAGAATGATTCGGACAGAGAATTTCAGGTCAATTGGATTGAAGAAGACTCTTGTTTTCTATTCTGGGAAAGCTCCTAAAGGTATTCGTACTAGTTGGATCATGAATGAGTACCGTTTACCTCAGCACGAAACCGAACGCCTCCAAAAGGTAACAAATATAAGTCATTTTTCTTCTTCTTCTTTCTTCTTCTCTTCTCCTTCTTCTTCTTGTTGATGATCTTGTTGATGAATGGAAATGATAAGATGGAGAAATTCAGTTCAAATCCCATCATTCTGGATAAAGGGTTTTTTCTTATTCATCGGTTCCTTATATGATCGATCATGAGTTTCAAAAAGTTCTGTCAGGCTACAAATTGAGTTTCAATTGCATGTTTTAGAAAAAGGGTTTTTGTTCTTGTAATAAAAGAATCAATCTTTTCAATGATTTTGTTGTTCTTGGCTCTTACTACTTGTTAAGGAAAGCCCGAAAAAACCAGTTTCCAATTTGGTGTAAAAATCTCTTCCTCGATTTTCACTACCAGCTGATTACATTTTTTTTTCCTTTTCTTTTTTTGGGAGTTGGTTTGGATTTTTCTTCTCATTAGTCTCACTTCATACCAACGCTGCAAGATGGCCCCTTTCATGGGGGGCTAAAAAGATAGATAGATAAAAAATAAAAATAAAAAAGTACGCAACAACTGACAAAAAATTAAATGAGTTTTCATGGTTTTTCTTTTTTGTTTTTTCGGATGAGGGGTTGTGTTTAATGTTCATCACAGAAACCATGCATGAAGCATTATTATCATCATAGTCACGAATCCAGTATTCCAGTCCATGAAACAACACTTTCATGGAGGAAAAGTCCTCCTTTCATTCCCTCATCTTCTTCAATTCTTTCTTACTTGTTTGAATTATATTAAAAATTTTCCACACCGTTTACTTAATTGCAGGCTGAGATTTCGCTTTGCCGGGTCTACAAGAGAGCTGGAGTCGAAGACCATCCATCTCTACCTCGTTCTCTTCCCACAAGAGCTTCATCATCAAGAGGAGGAATCCATGCATCAACCAACAAGATTTCTAAGTCCAATGATCACATCACTCCAACCAATAGTCTTTCCATGGAGAGTAGTTTCCAAGGTTATGGAGCAAATCCACAACAAATTGAAGAGAAATTGAGTGAAACAAGTGGAAGCAGCAGCACTGATCATACTAATATTGGAATTGGAACTTCTCTTGGCCTTTCTAAGCATCATAGTAACAACAACACTTTTATATCTTTAGCCCCAATGACTGCAACTTCACTTTCAGTTTCAGCTCCAACTTCATTGGAAGATATTCCTGATGAACAAAATAGAGTTTTTCTTCAACATCATCATCATCATCAATCAAAACAACCATGTATTAACACTACTTTAGCCCTTGAAAACCACACCCTTTTTGCGGGCTCTTCTTCTTTTCTCCCCACCACCAATACAGTTGATGATCTTCATAGGCTTGTGGAATTCCAACATGCTTCAATGAGCCACATTCATCAACAACAATATCATAACATTCACAATAATAATCCTTCCTCCGGCCAGTTGTTCTCTAGCCTTCAGCAGGCGGCACCACCATCGCTGCCTCCCTCGTCTTTGGCTCTTAACATGATGATTCCCGGATCTCTTCAGACGACTTTCACGGATAGGTTGTGGGATTGGAACTCCATTAATGAAGGAAGCAACAAAGACTTCAACAGCCCTTTCAAGTAATATTATGATAAGTTTTATCTATCATCTATATTGTGTATGAATTTGCATATACACATGCATAGCTTCTATAGTAGTATAATTTAATTTCTATATAAGTTATGTACGTATGAACTGCTGATGTGTGAAGTAATTCACTCCCTTAAACATATTAATGGTAGATTTTGAAGGAGGACTAATTAATGTTTGATTAATGCTACTTAGTATTAGCATATGATCTATCTATCATCCCTTGATAGATTTTCGATTTAGGTTGTACACTTGATGTTACTGTAAGAACTCCATTAATCGTTTCTTTCTAATATAATGTCTTCTAGATTTTGCCTCTTATTATTTGGAAAAGTGAATGTGTTCTTAGTTCTTAACTTATGAAAATACTATATACGTGGTCACTTGTTTGTTTGCTTTTATGTTTGACTTCTTTCGAGATTAAAGGTTAATTTCAATAGTCGAAAAAATTCTATAGATGATTTGGAATTCAGTCCATTCATTTTCTCTTCCATGCATGTATATAGTATGGTATTTGTCATCTAACTCGAGTCAACTCCAATGAACTGTTATGTCCATAACCGTTATGCATAAATCATTGAACCCTTTAGCTAGTGTGTGAGTGTGTGTGCTGACTTGAGAATGATAAGGCTATCATGATTGATATACTAACGTACAATGGCAGACGACTTGCAGAGTTTTTGTAAGATGGTTGGGGACCCAATTCTCAGAAAAACACAACCAGAATGAAGACAGAAATATGTTTGTCTAGTTCACCTCTATTAGGTTGATGGGATCATATGTAGGATCATCAACTAATCCCATTACAAAACACACTAGTCCTCTCATTTCTGTTCTCTTCTTTTGTTCTTGTCTTTTTTTTTTTTTTGGCTAATCCATCATCAAAATCTTGCATCTAGGCTCCGAGAATTGAAGATCTAACCCTCTTATATAAAACATAGTTCTCAAATTGTTTTATTTAAAATAATATGCTGACTATCTTTTTGTGTATATAGGAATTTGAGGTTAGTACAATATCACATGATTCATATCTATAAAGGTAAAAATACTAGGAATAACATATACAGCTAACTGAATGAGTACTGATTGAGTTTAGTATGGTACACTTACCTAGTTAGTTAGCCCGAATTCTCATATATCCACACCACCTTTTTTTGAGTTTTTTTTTTTTTTCCAGCTGAATTGCAGGCTATATGTATATAGCTATACATTCTTTTTCTTGGGATCTGTTCCTTTTGAGATTTTTGCTGTGATTATGACTGTTATTATTTGTAGCTGTGATCTAGCTAGCTAGTTGTTGTTTTTGTGGGAGTCATCATCATCTGATCTGATTCTATGTAGTAAAAAAGACCCGCACTTTCTCATATTTTGGCTGCTGGCTTTTTGCATGCCTCAATTCCATTTCCATGCGTGCATGATCTTCCTACTTGGTCTTGTTCATTGTGTTTTGTTTGGTGTTAGAATGTGTTTACATATAGAGAGGTCCATACCTTCTACAAGTCTTATATAGAATATAATATTTCTCCCCTCCATCTATCTGTCTCATTTTAATAATTCACGGTTAAAGTTTATATTATATGAATATTGTGGCTCTTACCTAGCCTTTGTAAAAATATTAGGTTTACAAAGGGCCAAAGTTTCTTTTCGCGATTGTCGGTTGGTTTTGTTTAATTTCTCCCCATCTGTGAACAATATATCACGTGATTTTCAAAATTGGTGCATCATTTCTTTTCTTTCTTTTTTTTTTTTTTGTCTTTTACAATGATAATTTTTCATCTCGTGTTAATTATTTGCCTATCTGTATGACATTTTTTCTATTTTTTTGCGTAAATTTTATGATTGCAAGCTCCAAAGATATTCTACATTTTTTTTTAAAAAAAAAAAAAGAAAGGTATTCTAGTGGAATTAACAAGGAAACATTCCATCCGTTTCACTTGTCCTGGCTAATATACTAGTTTAGTTTTACTAATGGACTTTTAAAATGGGACAAATGGAGTACAAATTAGTGTATGTATGTCAACTATACATTTAATTTTAAGAGTTTTGTGTAAGTCTCCCCCTACTGAATTAATGTGCTTCAAAAGATAAAGATTTTGAGTAGTGTTTATGCTGTCTAGCTATAAAAGTAACAAGTTTGAATACAATCTAATTAACCAGCAATTGATTGTTTGTTGATTAGCATGAATAAATGAATTAGTTAGATGCTTTCTGAATCTCGTGAAAGTATTCAAGAATGATGAATTGATAAAACATTTATTAAAAATTGTCCATGTAGTTGGGAGGAGAATTTTAATTTTTTATTTTTCAATAGAAAAATAAAGAGGAAGAAGCTAGCTAGAGGACTCGGATTTATATTTCTCCCTTCAAAATTTCTCCGGCAGTACGATATAAACAATAACAATGAAATTCATCTCATAGTATTTTATTCTAACATCATTTCATCAAAACTTTTACTAACAACATTTGTCACATTTTTTTCGTCAGGACATGATGGACATCACGGTTTTAGTTCCTTAATTAATTGCCGACACAAGAGCATGAAACATACATTTTTTTCACCTTACACTTTTTTTTTTCCCTTCATCTGTTTCAAAATAAATATTCAATCATTTCAAGACTGAAAGAATACTTAATTTATTGAGAACAATAGAGTAATCTCTTCCAAATTTTAATCGCACTCGAAACCCTCTTAAAAAATTTTAGTGTAATCCTTTAGTTTTCTAATAAGAATTATGTTCATCAAATTATTTTAACATGACAATTAGACTTTTAGATTATTAAGCGGAGGGAATGCATTGTACTCTAGTATCGTAAATTTTTATTTTTAAAAAAAAAGAAGTAATCATAAGATACTGTGAAGGATTTATTTCGGTGTTCATGTAATATTCAAGTTTCAAATTTAAAATGTATCAAAATGAATGAGAAAGAGAAGGCCTTTTTTTCCCGTGACCTCATTTGTATCATCTCATCATTACGTGACTGATCAGTCTCACATAATAACAGTGTTGCATTCATTTAATTTCGGCACTAAATAATGGAGCAATAATTTAAGGATATGGGCAATAAACTGTTTGTGATGCATTAAATATTTATTACTGGCAATATTGAAATTGTCAATGGATATGGAATAAAAACAACACTTCTATTAGTTGTAGTTGTAGTTATAACTTATAAGTGCATAATAATGTTTACCTTTTGAAATTACTATATCCGTTCTAGGGTATAGATTTCTATATATAACAAAAATGCATTGGAGATTATTTTTGAAAGCATTGAAAAGTACATTGCCATTGTTGTTTTGATATTTGCAGAAAAAGATCAGTACTTGTAATATTTTTTCGGTTCTAAAATTATTATCTTATTTATTATATATTCGGGAGTGGTTATTTTTCTGCTGCGAATGTAGAATCATCAGTTTACTTAGTCAAGTAGCAACTGTAATTGAAATTCTAGAATTGTCGCTGCGATATGTATATGCTGGCATGAGAGTATTTCATGTCGACGGAAATGAAGGAAATTAAATTGTGTGCAGTTGACAATCGGATTGCGCAATGTATTCAATAATTCAATAATTTGAGAAACTCCCTCACATTTTAGTTGTGCTTTGTCAACGTGGAAGAATTAATGATGGATTTAAAAAACTTCACCTTCGGTAAAGTGTAAATATACATAGCGTCTTTAATTTTATCCTCGATTTTAACTACTTTTTTTTCTTCATCTTCTCAAGTTTATGTCAAAATTATAAAATATATTTCTTCTGTCTCAAAATGACTGTAAGCTTTCAGTATACTTTGCATTAAAATAAAAAATTAAATTAGATAATTATTTCGGAATGAAAAAAAAAAGGATTGTTTTCCATTGTCACATGCATGAACTAATACATTCATTTAGTATAATGCATAAAATTTTGCTACCAAATGATAATAAAAGAATATATCATCACCCGCTTTATCTTTATGATTATTTTGTATTATCTTGAGAGCATCGTTTTAATTTCTTTTGTGTTTTTTTTTCCCTTTTGTTCGTTTCTGGTTTTTTCGTGAATCACGTTGATGTTTCCAACGACATCAACATTCTTTTACGTAGAATTAGCCTTTAGTTTTGGGTTTACGTCTCAAAAACTTAACTTCCAACAGTTTATATCCTTTCGTCATATAAGAAGTTTATGTCATGGTACTTCCTTTTATTTTTTAGGTTTTTAGTTTTATAAGAATTAGCATATTGGTATATTATATTCAGTACCTCTTGAGTATATAAATCCACAAATTAAACCCTTATGTCGAGATGAAAAGAATAATATTCCCTTCGTCCCATAACTGTTGTCCAGTTTAAGTTTTTATTTTTAGTTCAAATTATACTAAAAATAAAACTTCAAACTGAATAATAATTTTGGGACAGAAAGAGTATTATGTTTGACGGGTTCCTCGATCACTTTCTGATCGATTGGCTGATTGAGTTATTTTCTCTTCATTTTCTCATTCAGAATGAAACCTAGGCTGACTTTTGTTCATTAATTAGTTAAGACAAAATTGCTAGATGTATCCTGCGCATCAAATGATCAAACCTCTTGAGTGGATATCAATCACACAACGCGCTCTAGTCTTGATCACGGTTAGCATGCAGATAAAAAAGCTTTTATAGGAAAGGTCTGAATTTTATATTACTAAATTTTATGTCATTTTCACTTGATCAAAACAGTTGATAATTCCAACTAATTAATTGACTCTTTAAATTGTCAGTCCATATTCCAAAAAAAAAAAAACAAACAAAACAAAAACAACAAAACTGTTAAAGACAAAGATGATTCCCAGCTCAACCAAACTATTTGAGCATTTAGAAAAATTAAAATGGTGACGCTGTAAATAATAATATGAATCAGTTGTATCATAATATCATGATCGTTGTGAGTTCAAACGTATGATGAATTATAATATAATGATGATACAACGACTCTTCACATTCATCGATCACGGGAGAACCGAATCACTATTGATCCTACTAGGTGACGGGACCGATATTTTGACGCGGCTGTAAGAATATCTCTCAGCACAGAAATTCTCCGAAAATAACATCCAAAACGGAAAAAAAGAAAAAAAAAAAAGAAAAAGAAAAAAAAAAACAGAGAAAAAAAAAGGTAAAGCAAAAAAGACGTGTGGGTCGGGAGGGAACCAAATAAACCCAAAGTCTCAATCGGTCCGAAACTGGGTCAATCTATAAAAGGAGGTGGTGGACCGCACACCAAATGGGCGTAGGCCGAATTATAGTTTCAAAGTCCGCCACCACTACTGCTTTTATAGCCCAAAAAGAATATTACACCTTCTTCTACTTCCTC